TTAATTATAATTATTAAAATAAATATTGTACAATTAAAAAAATAAAAGTGTCCATAAACTTTTGGCAATTCACTGTATATATAAAAGAATGCTTTTTTGACCTTTATAAAATCTTAACTCTATTAATGTTAAAATTATAATCACTCAAATTTACTATTTTTTAAATTACTAATAATTTATTTAAGACTTTTATACTTTAGCCTTTAGAAAATAAGATATTAAGAAAAATGTATAAACTTTATTATCAAAAATAAAGAATATTTTTAAAAACATTTGTTTTTGAATTAATAAGAGAATTAGTAAAAAAAGTTTTATAAATAATTATAATTAAATATTTATTAATATTAGTAATAAAAAAATATCAGTGGATCAATAACATAATGAATAGTATTCTCTGATCTTCAAATACATGTCTTTAGTTTAATATCTATAAAAAGTAAAATATATAAATTATTATTTATTCGTAAGTTTATCAGTTTTTTACAAATGTCATATCTAAATATTTAGATTATAATTATATTTAATTAGATTGTATAAAAATAGAATCTCTGGTTTTTTTAATGATCATGGATTGAAAACAGATTGAAGCAGAAAAGATTATATAAGGAAAGACTTTTGATTTAACTTTAATAAAAGCTTACAAAATCACTTCCCTGATATAGCAGGCTCTATAATACAAAGAATACTCTATTTTAAGGCTATTTCAATTTGATACTTGCTTAAAAGAAGAGAACCCTTAAAGGAAATCTGAAGCTGCAAGTGATGATAAGAAGTACAAATATCTTCTTTAAAGAACTAGGCAAAAAGTATTTAGATTATTTAGGTGTTCTAATTAATTTTGCAAGGTATAGGATCTTTAATAGTAAGTAGTCATAAAATTATTAAATTAGGATTTAGCAGAAAGATTGAGTTTAAACTATATATGTGTTCATATTACTATAAAAGAAAATTTGATTGACAATATGATTCTGAATTAAATATGAATTTCAATTATTTACTATATGTTACTTAGTAATTTTACTATAATATAGTTTTTGAAAAATAATTAAATTTAATTCTATTATATATATAGTTTAAATTATACATATGGTGGAATTGAATTCAACCATTTTTCAAAAACCGTATTATGGTAGAATTACTAAGTAACATATAGTAAATAATTGGAATTCATATTTAATTCGGAATCGTATTATCGATCAAATTTCCTTTTATGGTAATATGACCACATGTATGGTTTAAACTAGTAACAAAACTTTCTATTTCTTGAATTTGTCATCTAGTACAGTTGGGGACAAATCTTTTTACCCTTTTTTATTTTATAATAAATTGACATTTATACATATTAACTAATCATGAAACGATAATGATAAACACGTGAGATTATCTAATTATGTTGCAAAATATTTAATACAGAATTTGTTTGCCCCCTCCTTCAATAATAAGCTTATATCATTTTCTTATAGATCCAACCAAATTCTTTATAACATAATCTGGAATACTTACCTACTTCTTGATCATAAAACTTTCTAATTCTATAAGATTTTTTGGCTGTCACTTCTTCATACCCTTCTTGACCATACCCAAGAGATTTTTGATGGGGTTAAGGTCTGGGCTGTTGGAAGGCCAGTCAATAACCTCAAGTACATTAGTTTCCAAGTATTTAGTCATTATTTTGTACATATACTTCGGATTATTGTCTTGTTGAAAATGTCAGATACATCCTAGTATTTGTGGAACCTCTGGTAAGTTTTTTTGAAGGATTTCAACATAATAAGAACCTGTTATTATTTCTTGGAAGCAAAAAAGATTTGATTTTTCTTTCGTACAAAATCCATCCCAAACATAAATTTTTGTTCTGTTTTTTGGAATGTGACGTGTTGGTTAGGCCCCCTTATATTACTGTTTTATGGTATTTCGAAACAACTGAAAACATGTTTCGTCAGAAAAAAATATTTTCTTTCAGTTATCGCTAAGGTAAGCTTGAGCCCATTTCACTTGGTTTTTTTTATATTTATTCATAAGTATTGAAGTAGCTAACGGCAAATCATTTTTATATCCCAGATAATCCAAATGTCTCAAAATTGTTCTATAGAATACATAAGTATCTATTTCAGTTAATTTTATTGCTATTTTCTGGGAAGAGATAGAGGAATCATGCCATACATATTGACTGATTGCCTTAGAAGCTCTTGATGTTATTTTTTTAGGATGCCTACCATCTTTTCTTCATTCGACATTTCCTGTTTCTTTTAATTTTTTGATATTGTATTTGATAGTTCTTAGTGAAATGCCGGTTTTTAAATAAAGTTTTCGAGGGCTACATATCCTATTGTTTCAGAAATGTAAAGGAGTTCCAAGATATGCTTTGCTATTTGACAAAGACATTTTAAACTTTATTTTTTGACGAAATAGGTGGGATATAATAGTATAAAAGAAATATAGAGATATCATAATGGCGTGAGTTTATGATAACATAATTTGTGTATTATTTATTTTTTAAAAAAAAAAATCATATGAATTTTTATCACATAAATTATAAGGGCAAAAAGTTTTATCCCAAACTGTATATAAACCCTACTTTTATAGTAATAAATTTATATAGCTAGATTAAAATAGATAATAAAAATAAATTAACTTAAATAAATCTTTGATATAATGTAATATTGGATATAAATAACTCAATAAAAACCAGTATATCTAGTATTTTTTATCTTAATAAAATATTAAGTAAAATATATATAGATTTAATGGATTAATTTTTGAAAGATAAGAATAACTCTTAAAAAAAATTTTTGATTTTCTTTTTGGATAATTTTTTTCAGATATAAATGTAAGAAAAAGTTTTTTTTTTGTTAAAAGAAAAACAATTTTCAATTATTTATTATATTATATATTATTTAGTAAAATATAAGTAAATGACTTATAAGAAACTTATTTAAACATCTAAAAAACTTAAAAAACATGATGCCCCGAAGTATCCCGATAATTCCGGATATATACGGGAAAATAGATCGGCATAATATTATGAATAAAATTTTTCGTGTTGGCTAGAAATTCGTAGCATGGCTTCAGCTCGCGACCAACTCCTTACAGCTTTGTCCGAAGCAGCCTCACAACAGCCAGAACGTATAAAAGCAGCAGAAGCTCATCTTAGGCAATGGGAAGTTGAGCCCGAGTTCTATTCGACTTTGTTGGTGAGTTATCAGGGAAATTTTCATTTTGTAGCTTCATAGCAAGAATTTTGCATTTCATTTATTTTGCGAATGAGCAAAATTAAGTTTCTACTTTTGTACTTTTAAAACATTTGCATTTAACACGAAAACATAACTTATCTGTCTGCGATTCAGTTTTTTCTTTGACAAATTTTTTAACTTCCTATTGTATCGGCTTTCTTGCTCAACCATTCGATTTAGTAGTTCCTTCAAGATTGGTAAATAAAGTAATCTTTTTTATGACAATTGCGGGAAATGGATGTTTAGTATTCCTTAATTTGAGTTTAGATTATTAGGATCACCAACTATATAATAATTATAAAATCAGAGACAAATCTAATTTTATTATATTTACAATATATATTTTACCGTTGAAAAAATTTGACACATCATTTAGGATGTAATTCTTGACAAATCAATCGATGCAAACATCCGATTTCTTGGTGCTATTTTCTTTAAGCATGGAATCGATCGATATTGGCGAAAATCCGCGAAAAAGTAAGATCTTTCGCAATATAAAATTATACATGAGTTATTAGTTTTATTGATCGAAATGTACAATCTTTTGAATTTCATTTGTCATTTCAATAGTGCCATAAATCCCGACGAGAAAGCAAAAATAAGATCAAGGCTGTTGTTTTTCATGGATGAGGAATTTAATCAGGTTAGACCACAGCATTTTTGGATGAATCACGCCATTAAATTAAAAAGTTAACAAATGCTAGGGGGGATGTATAATTTATCTGAAATTAGCTAGCAACTCAGAATGCCATATTGGTATCAAAGATTGCGAGACTAGATTTTCCGAATGAATGGTTTGTAAGAAATTTATTAAGGATTATTCACGTATGAATCAATCTCTGATTACAATCTTGATCATGGAAAATGTTTTGGTAACAGGCCGGATTTACTTCAGAGTCTCTTGTCCATCATTCATTCAACATTAACACCCTCCTCGAATACTCAAACCATATTAATACAAAAACGAGCATTACTCACGTTGCATTTGGTCATCAAATCCTTATGTTCCAAAACCATTGGTGCAGATAGAAAAATGTTAGAGCAGGTTTGTATCGCGTGTTATCCTATGATTTTATAAATCCTCATTCAATTACGTCGCTAATCTAATATTTTCTCGTCGAATTGCATAAAACGCACTTCTGCATTATCTGCCATCAAATATCAAAAAGATTGCACCAGAATTATTTCGCAACGTTGCTAGCATATATGTTGAACACGCAAATAGATTCTTTGCAATGATCTCGTCAAACGACTTTGGGGATACTACGGATCTAGAGACTTCATTGTCAGCCTTAAAGTGCATACGAAGATTGATTGTTCATGGATTTAGGGATATTAGTCAAGTTGAGGAAACAAAAGTATTTGTCGATTTTCCTTTGCATCGCTCTTCCCGATTTTGAAGGAATATTCTGATTCCTTATACATTCCCATGTTGTGTTTTGACTTAATTTTTATAATTAGGATTTTTTCGCTTTGTCCTTGGAACATTTGCAAAAGTTTCATGCATTGAGTATGCAAATATTACCATGATATTAATTAGTCTTCGTTTAAGTTTACGATAAACTTCGCCTATTACAGGAAACGCGTTGCAAGAAAACACATCTCCTACATTAGTACAAGTCTCCGCGCATATTATTCTAATAGGAAAAATGTACATTGACTTACTGAAGTCACATACAGTCGCGTTTATCATGACTCCGCGGTCTATCGATGTTATTCATTTCTATTTGCAATTACTTGTCACGTATGGGAAATCTAGTGAAAAAGGTATCACCGATTTTTGTCCAAGTAGCCAAATAATTATTATTTAACCAATCTCATGCTTTTGAACGAATAGGCAACTCCGCAAAGTTCAATATAATCGAAAAATTTTTGGTGCAAGCGTTATTGTTATTGAAAGGATTGATCAGAAAAACCTCTTACAACCAAGATCTTAGAGGTATGAATTATTCGATATCAAATGATATTCAATAATACATCAATTGTTAGAAATCTCTTTAAAAC